CCCCAAAACCCCAAAACCCCAAAACCCCACAATCCAAATTTTAACAAGAGCTTATAAATAATCAAAGTTTAAATTAGCATCATTTTAGTAACTAAATATCTCATATAAATTCTCATTTCATTTTCCTTGCAATAACTTGTTCTCTTTTATAATCATCCTTTAACTTATCTAATAAAGAATCAAATTCATTAGCTGTTTATTCATCGTTTAGCAGACTATTAGTCTGATTTTCAAATTTAAGTTTTATTTTCCTGAGCTTCTCAGCTATGTTAATTAGCTCAAGCTAAGTTTTCTTTGGATTATCTCTCTTTTGCATAGCTTATTTTACTAGATTCTCTGAATTCTCTTTGATAAACTTGCTTTAAAACTTAATGCCTTAATCATCATCTTCATAATCGCTCTACTCAGTTTTTCCCCCATTTTTATTTTTCTTAGCCTATTCTTCCTTTTTCTTTTGTTTTTTGTTGAATATCTCATTTTCAAGCATTACTCGCTCCAAATATTAGATCTTAATCTTTTCCTTTAGCAACTGCTCTTATTTTTGCTTGTCAATTGGATTAAGATCTTCATCTTCGAATGCTTCTTTATTTTTGAATTTCCTCTTTTTAATCTAAGGAAAGCGAATTTTATTTTATTCTTCATCTTGATACTTGACTACAGGAGCAGCAGCAATCTCAGATTGCAACTATTCATCTCTAGTTTTTCTTAGTATATCATTAATTTCATTCATGTTGAAATTTTTATCCCCTGGCTTGTACTTTAGAATCTATCTCAGCTTTTCCATATGTCCAAGACCTTTGGATTCAGATACATTCCCTTAATCTGAGATATTGACTCCAACCTTAAATAAGAGCTCTCTATATTCTTATTTCTTATCCTGCTAATAGGTATCTACCATAAACATATCAGGTTTAATTTCATATCTATCTTAAATAGTAGGTTTCAAAGTTTCAAGACTGATACTTTGATTCAGCTCTTTTTTCATCAATCTTGATTTTCTTTTATCAAGTTCGAGAGAATGTCTATTATCTGTGGATCCAAACAACTTTCATTCTGTTTCAGCTAATCTAGGCTTATCACAATCAAACTCTTAGATACTAGACTGGACCTTATCCAGGATAAAAGAAATCTTTTTTTATTTTTTGTTTTGATATCTAGCTGTCATTGCTATTTTCTTGAATTCTTTTTCAAATCTATCAATCTCAACTGGCACTAAGGACTTAATATGCTTAAGCTTTCTATTTTCACTCATTCTTAAAGGATTGTTTGTCTCAGTACTGTTGAATTCCTAGAGTAGACTTGGACTGAGTACATTTGTTTCAAATTTTTCAAGTGCACTCACACTTTGCTTCTGCTGCATTTATTTACCATAAAAACTAGATATCTTTGTAGGATTGAAGTTGGGTCTGAGTAATCTCTTCTTCTTTTCGTTGAACTCTTTCAATTACTTTTCATCAAAAAGTTTCTAAAGTTCTTGATCAAACTAATCAAGCTGAGTCTTTTAAACCTCACTTCGAGTGTTTAAAGAGAAAGCATTTCTTCTTTTGAACGCATTCTTCAGCTTTAATCCAGTCGGGCTATTTTGAATTGATGAAATTTTTTAGTCTTCAATCTTCTAAAGCTAGAGTTTTTGTTATGATTGCACAGGATTTGTAAACTGACTTTTTAGAAGTTAAGCATAAGAGTAGGAAATGTCTATTCCATATATCATATTGTGAATGAATTGAATCATTTGAATAAACTAGTCTTCCTTTTTAAATATATCGCTTCCATAGAGTATTAAGTCAACTATAGTTTATTTAATCCCATAGGCTATAATTAAAGGCATCAATTAGTAGAACTCATCATTCTTGGTTCCTTTTAATTTAATAAATAGCATCAAGTACTATTTATTCATTCGCTTCATTAGATTTTAATTAATAGTCTCGAAACTGGCAGCAGGCTCTATGCATTTATCATTGATGAGACTAAAGTAAAGCCAAAATAAGTAGACATATATCTTTCTAACATAGCTGATCTTTAATATGTTCTGGAAACTAAAATTGGACTATGCTTAAATTGGATTGGAATAATTACATGTCCTTAGGAGTCCGAAGCAAGGAGTGATTTATATACTTCTCAAACGCAATGTCAAGAAATTCGGTGAAATAGATCGGTATAGGAAATGGCTATTCTAGATACAGATGGACACTGCTTATATGAATCTTCTAGGTTCCATCAGAGATATCTTCTGAGTAGAATCTTTTAAGTTCATTTGACTCTACCTCCTCAAACATATCATCAAGACTCATGTCCTTATGTAAAATATCCGATATCACAGATCTCAGAGACAAAGGCTTGACTGATGACAGATTCTAATGATGCTAAACAGATGATGATACACTATATCTTTCAAATGATTAATCGTCTATGTAATATTGATATTCAAACTTTTAAAATAATCCTTACTATTATTTCTAGATAATTTTGGTAGTCTTGCTGATTGAGAAATGTAAATCTCACTTCTTTTCCTCTCTTTGTTGTGCATTTAATATAATTTATTACTTTATTTATTTTTAGCTTATTATTTCCAATAATCTGCTTAAACTAAACATGATGGGGTTTTGGGGTTTTGGGG